GAAGAGATTTCGTCTTTTTGGCTCATCCGGACGAAACAATCGGCCTTGACCAGACCGAATACATCATCGTTGCTGTACAATATTAGGAAGTAGGAAAGGCTGCGGATTTTGGTCTCTGTTTAGTCTTCATGGCCAATAGTGTGGGTAACGTTTTGATTGATGTTTCAGGCGACTTTACGACTTGGAAGATTACTACAGGACAGTGGTCAAGAACCGTCCTCTTCTGATCCACCCACTTAGCTCTCATTCTTTGTAACCTTACTTAGAAGGATCTTTGTTTTTGCATTATGAATGGTACCATTTTTCTCTACTCGAAATCTCTGTTGTATTTTGTCATTTAATGTCTTTGAACTGCTGGGAGCTACAAGAGATTTTAACCACATATACAAGAGGGCTGGATAATTTTAAGGGGTAGATTCTTAATTATTATATAATCAAAGGTTTTTATTCTGCACGGAATTTATGCTCGTAATTAATCAACCCCTCAAATCTGAAATGGATATCACGGGATAAGGGTGTCAATTGTGGCCCAAGATCCGAAGTCCGGCCTAGTCCTGCCCGAAAAATAGTGGGTTTCGGGTCGAGATATTGAGGTCTGAAATTTTTCGGACTTTCGGGCCGGGCTCGATTCGGACTTTCGGACCGGCCCGAAAAAACCTAATTTTTTTTAAAAAAAGATCTTAAGAAAAAAAAGGAAAAAAAATACTAACAAAGAAAATCGCGCGGGCCAATCTGGTCCAAGCCCGAGATCTATAGGGCCGAGCTTCGGGTTTGGTGATATAGGCCCGAAAAAATCGGACTGGCCCGAGCTCGAAACCCTCGGGCCAAATGTGGGCTCAGGCCGGCCCGATTGACACCCCTAAATTACGGGACCAGACCTAGCAGTGATCCATCATATACCAAAACAAGTTGTGATGAAACAAGAGTACGAGGAAACTTGACAACATCCCATAAATGGAAACGATACACTGTCTTAATGACCATGGTGGGTCCGACGACAAAACGACTAAATTCCCTTTCCACATAATGAAACATTACAGCAGAGTTTTCTTTTTCCAAAACGAGCATATACTTCAAATATATATATATAGAGAGAGATGCAAAAACCTTAAAGAACCATTGATTGGTTTGTGATAATCTGGACCTTCTCCAAGCACATTAAGGTTTAAGCCCTAATCTTGGATTTCTCCATTGCTCTCGGAGCAGCGGCTACAGAGGCCAAAAACAATAAAGGGAAACCGCCGGTCAGTAACCCTAACTATAATTTGGGCTTGGATCATGCCCCAACACAAAGACAAGCAACCCCCCCCCCTTAGGAAATTCATTAATGTCATATCCAATATATAATTATCAGCCACATGTTTACATAGTGTATACTGTATGGAAATTCATCAATCTTTCAACAATGTGATTCAAAGACTTTTTAAACCTTTGAAACGAATTTCAGGCAAAGATTTAGTCATGTAATATGACAGAAATCTGCTTTACCTAATCCAATGGCATCAGAGCTCTTCATGATCTTCAGCCTCTTGCATGCATCAATAAACATCCTGAGAAAAGATTTAGTCATGGAGTCAATAAAGGTTTACAAGTTGAGTATTCTGTGCAATCCCAAAGGGGGGTTTGTATCACAGTCTATCAATCAAACTAGGGTTTTATAAGAGGAAAGAAAAATAACAAATGCCCACATGGAAGTAGTTCACTATGATACCTAGAGATTTCATTTAAGAAATCCAATCAAATATATGATATCTGGAGAGGCATCCTATAACTTGTATCCCACAGAAACATTGAAAAAAGGAAAGAGCACTCATGAGAACGGAAGCTTACTCCCAAGGAACATCTCCAACAAGCATCCAGTCCCCATCCTTATCCTCATATGTAAGCACATAATCCTTTCCATTCAGAAGATCCTTGAGCTCGGTCCTCCCAACCATATCCTTCCCCGGAGCTCCATGGGATCCACATTGACCTGAAATCACATTCACATATACGCCTTAACCAACAAGGCATGACCCGGAATGTATTCTAAAGGAAAAACCTGCAGTAGAATATCATGCAATTCTTACCAAGAGTGAAAGTGGTGAACAGTTTTTCAAGAGCAGAAGAGAGCTCCCGGTAGCTAGTGTAACTTGTAAGGTCTACCTTTCTCAGATATGGAGCACCGTCCATGCTGACCTTCACGAAGAGGGCAGCAGAACCTGGCTTCCCATCAACTTCATCATTGTTCTTGGAAGTGGTGGCCAACGTGTTTTTCCTGTAGGATCTAATAGGAGGCCAACCAACAATCTGTGCCCTGAAAAATATGGAATCCAGAAATTCAATTAGCTGGTGGCAGCCGATCCATATGAACTGTTGGATGATCTTATAACATACTTAGATGCAGGTGGACTAGAGCTGTTGTTTGTGGTGCTTGACTGTCCTTTCGGCACCTCTTTCTTAGTTGCAGGTTGGGTCGATCCAGATCCATTAAAGATCCAGTTTTTCTCGATATATGCAGAAGCTTCCACTGTGTCAGAGAAGCCTCTTTTGTTTCCTGAGCATATTCCATCCTTGGAAGGAACCAATGGGAAGAATGGCTTCTCATTGAGATCCGTGTCTCTCTCAGGGGATTGTGATCCAGGGAGCCCAAGCCTCAATTCAGTAGCTTTGAGACTGATGCCACTCTTGTCATCTTCCGACAGGTCAGGGAGGGTAGAAGAGCAATCAGACAGGCCCAAGTAGTTATGCTCCTTCAGACCAGATGTGTTCCTCGACAAGCATTCGCTAATAGGCGATGAACTCGCCACAGAGACATTGCTCTGAAGTTCCTCCTCCACTTCCGCTATGGGTGGAGACATCGGAAATATCTTTCCTTAAACTCCAAAGCACGAACTGATGGAAATCTGTATAACACCAACGACGCTTGAACAGATAAGGGCTAAGCATAAAAGTGCTTTCTTCCAACGATTCAGAATTCCAAACAAAACCCAGAAATTCGGAGATTGGGGTAACAAGAACGAAGAACTGGAAATCAATAAGTTATTTTACGAGAAAAAGGGTAAAAAAAGGGAAGTGAACTGAGGTCAGGTGAGGTGCTGAACGAGTTTTTTTCTGTTCTTCGCACAGATTTCAGATTTCCTTTGTCATTTCTTCAGGAAAAAAAATGTTCGACGGCCAAACAGGTTTTGAACAAAAATTAAAGCCCCATCACCCAGAACCAAACGAAAAAGCAATTCGCCATGAAAATGACCACACGGCGAAGCTAGTGACAAACCAGCACAAAAGAAAACCACAGATCTTGGAGCAACAGTCAAATCCCTTCATGAATGATCTCTAAGGGAAGAGAGAACAAACAGTACCTGGCGAGAGAAGAACCTGGATGAGACGGAGCTGAGGAATAAAGATTCGAGCTTGAAATTAGCCGAAGAATAGTTCACGAGCAAGTACGAGCTATGGAGGACAACAAGAGGGAGAGAGAGAGAGATCAAGGCTAGGGGTGGCCATTTCGGGTTTCGGTTCGGTTTTCGGTTCGGTTATTTCGGGTTCGGTTATTTCGGTTATAAAAAAATCATACCCAAACGGTTATATAGATTTAATCGGTTCGGTTCAGTTCGGTTTCGGTTCGGTTCGGCTCGGTTTTTGCATAATAAAATTATAACCAAACGGTTATATTTTTCGGTTTATTCGGTTCGGTTTTAGATCGGTTCGGTTCGGTTATGATATATTTTTTTAAAAAAATTATTAATCCTACATAAATTTCAAAATATCTATTTAAATAAATGCACAAAATGATTAATCATGTAAAATAAAATTATAAAAAAATCTAAAAACTTCAATAATTAGGATAAAAATTAAAAACATTACATTTTATGGTTTATTGGGTAAAATATATAAGGTTAAAAGTGGAATATAAAAAAAATAATACTAATAATAATGAGGATAAAAATTAAAATATTAAAAAAACTCAATAACCGTTCGGTTAACCGCGGTTATTCGGTTATTAACCGAACCGAACCGAACCC